AAGAACAAGTCCTCTCTAAACGAACGAATATATAGGCTTCGTGAAACAATTCGGGAGGGGTTATTCGGATCGGGCATATATAATGTCTTTCATTAGAAAAAAACTTTTTATTATCCTTACTATGCTCTGTAATATGCTTGGTATTGATTCTCTCACTATGTTTTGTGTAGTGAACGGGTAAAACTGTTATATACCCTTTTCTCTTTATTCAGACAGATCAAACATGTAGCTCCAAAATGTCTCCCATTCGGGAAGTGAAAAGAGAAATAAGTATCATTCAGAAAAGAAGAAAAAAAAATACAAGTCTCACATAAAAACATAACATAAACAAAGTCCTTTTGATGCCTCAACCATTTTTTGTTTGGTTTTGTGTTCAGACCAATTTGTGCAACATGAAAAGATCTATTCGACTCCAAGACTCTTCCTGAACACACAAGCATACTGAATAATATTGTCAGGATCAGCCATTGCCTTGATCACACTCTCTCTCACTATACACCTCTTGGTCCACTCAATCAATTTGGGAGCCTCTTTTTCGATGCTAAATTCCCCAAATTTCTCCATGGCTTTGAACCAACTGTAATATCCTATCAATGCAATGTCTACGAATCCGAATACCTCACCACCATAGTAAGGTTTGTCTCCGAGCTCGGTTTCAAGTGTCTTGAAATGTTCGATCAGTTCTTTCCTAGCTGCAACTTGTTCTTCTCCCTTTGTTCCCCATACTTTCCATGATGGGTCGTAGAACTGAACAACAAAAAACATCAAAGTCATAAATAATGAGAAATTGTTGAGAACAAAATATGAGTATTTTTTATATTTCAGATCTTGATTGTTTGTTTGCGTATGCTATTTTTTGTTGTTAAAACAATAATCAGACTTTATCGTGGATGTTCAGCAAACTCATAAAGCTATGTCTTAACTCACAAGTCTTTTTCTTATTTTATGTATATTATTCCAACGACCTTAAACACCAAAAATCACCTTAGTTTTTGAAAAAGACTGAATATATTTTATATTTTAAACATACAATTTTTATATAAGAAAAGAAAGACCTCACGTAACACACAAGCGCAAAATTAATGAGAAAACAATAAACTAAATAAGTTTTCTTTGCTAATGTAAATTTTTTGTAGATTTTTTTCCTTCATTTTCTAGTTTCTACTACAGTGTGCGATAATTTTCTTTTTCTTTCTCAAAAAAATAAAAAATATCAGATCGAAAAAAGTTTCAATTTAGATTTTACGTAATTCAGCCTGGTCATTAAAGGTAATTAACATAAAGAAAACAAAAATTCAGAAGTTGACTTTGTACCTTTCTGTCGATGAACTCTCCCCAAAATCGAGCTTGAGATTTCTCATAAGGATCAGAAGGAAGGATTGGGTATGTATCGGACCAAACCTCGTCGATGTACTCAATCTGAATAAGAGATTCACAGATCGGTTTACCATTGTGAATGAGAACCGGAATCTTCTTGTGAACCGGATTCATCTCGATGAGCAAAGGAGTCTTGACCCATGGATCTGTCTCCTTGTACTCATACTCTACTCCTTTCTCAGCCAAAGCTATCTTCGTCCTCATACCGAACATGCTTGGCCAGAAATCAAGAAGTATCACTTGGTTCGTCATTTTCTTGAGATCCGGTTTAGCTTCTTGATCAACTACACACTTATTAATATATATTTGTGTTTCTTGAAATGTAGAATGAAGATAAGAGGTTGAGTTTTTTTTGGGGGAATTTATAGATGTAAGCACGAAATAAGGGTTTTAGTTGAACCACGTAACAAAATGACATGCATTATCAAATTTTAATATAGACTTTATGGCTTGGTCCTTTTTTACTTTATAGAATATGTGGATTAAATTATTGTTAACGTTTGCGACTTATTGAATCTTATCATATAAAGAAGGAGGATGTGCATGATGAGAATGCGATACGTAAAT